TTTAATTACTGAAGGTAATTAGACAATTTAACGAGCACTTTGTATGTCGAAGACTAGTAAGACTCGGAGCAATCACACAAGGTTACTTTCGAAGATTTGTTTCACTTTATTCCCCGTAATTGCGGATGAAGACTAACTTTGTAACTTGCTGGAAGAAATTGGTTGTAAACTAAGAATCAGACCAATTGAACTTCGGTGATGAACTAATTAAGAGCAATCACGCAATGTCACTTTCGTAGATTTATATCACTATATCCCGTACTTGAGAATGAAGATTAACTTGTAACTTGTTAAAAAGAACTTAGTTGAAAACTTAGTATTGAACTAAAGGACTTCGGCGATGAACTGATTTCAAAAACGAAAAACCAGCCCTTTTATTTAGAAATTTTCAGTCATTAAGGGTGATTCTCCCCTAACTATTGCGTCTTTGCAATCATGACATCATGCTTTGCAATATTTCATCAGATTTCATCATCTTTTTAGAACTTTCTAGAAAATTTCCTCAAAAATAGCAAAAGTAAACTGATGGTTTTGATGCTCGATTCTGATTGGTCCCGGCCTTGGCGAGGAGCAGAATACTGGCATCTGATTGGCTGAAGGCTTTAGTATAAGTATTAAAGTGGTATAAAATGCAATTTTCGATTTCGTTACGTTCATTTGATATCGTAGCCTCTTGGTCTACAACAGTCTGTCGTCGAGCAGACCCCAAAAAGAAGGCAAAATTAAATATGAAAACGCGAAAAAAACGTTACAAAAATGCCTCCGAACGACTAAGGAGGAACGACTTAGTATCTGTGCCAAGTCGCACGCCGTTTCGAGGCTCGCGAAGAAGGATGCGGCAAAATTCACATTTTTCGGCCATCCTAGACAGTGCATTTTAACGTATTTACGGCCGCATTTCAAATCCCGCGTTTGATTTCGCGGAAAGTTGTACATAAAAAGTTGGAAGAAGGCACCCGGTCGATAAATGTGAGTATTTTTGGCACAGTTTTAAATAAAATATTGTAGAAAATAGGGGAAATAAAAAAGAAAAAAGCCGTACCCGCGTGCGATTCGAGGCGATCGGGGACTGTCATATTTCAGCGGGAGGGCGTGTCGGACTATTGCGGTTCACACAAAAATTGGGCCACGCCCCCCGTAGGGCTCCAGGAGGACCGGATTTTAGGTAGGAAGGAGCGGAAGGAGCGGAAGGAGCGGAAGGACCTCCACCGGAATACCCCTAAGCGACGTGGCGAACGCAAGTCATGCGACGCAGACGGAGCTATAGGATTTTAATATATATTGACTAGAAACGTAGGCAAGTCGGCTTTGCCGACTTGACGTTTCTCTCGGGCCATCGGCCCTCGGGCCGCGCTGCGCGCGGCTTGAGCACCGCTTCGCGGTGCTTTCCCCCCCGGTTAGTAGATGTAACATTTTCTGAAACACCCTGTAGTTTAGTTTTTAAACACCCCGTATATAAATGTTTGATAACACTTTAAAAAATTGCCGGTTTGGCGGAGAAGCTGTTGACAAACGAAAATTTACCTATAAAATTGCGGAAAAGTCTTGCAAAATACCCCTACTCTACCTAGGTTAAATTTGTTAGAACGTCTAGTATTGATATATTCAAAATGTCATCTAGTTAGTAAGCATAAAACATGACGAAAAGAGTCAACATGTAAAGAAAACAGAAAAATGTAAAAAATGTAAGAAACAATCTGTTCCAGATCTCTGTCAATTTTATAGAATACTTTGTACATAAATTTTCAGGAAACCCAGATCTGGCCTCGATTCTGTTCCGCATTAATTTTATGGTATACCTTGTATATATAGAGTTTCAGAAAGGCATCTCGTTAGTAAATACTACATTTTTGAAAGAGAAAAAAATTTTTTCAGTCCTTTGGTATTCAAATCCGGGTCGATTTTGTGAAACATTCTGAATGGAAAGTTTCAAAAATATGTCTGGCTAGGAAGTATAAATATGTTTGTTAATTAGGTACTTTAATAAATACTCGTAAAGTAAAAATGATAAGAAATATTCCATCCTCCGTGATTCTATGTTGGGTCAGTTTTATAGAATATTTAGTATATCGTGAAGTTTAAAAAAAACATCATATACAACTTTTCATCAAAGGTTCTCAATAAATAAAGTAGAATAAAATAAAGAAAAATATGAATATCTGAACAGGATAGAGATTGTTGGAACATCCAGTATAAAAATGTTCAAAAATTGCATCTTGTTAGTAAATACAAAATTTTCATCAATGGACTTTAACAAAGAAAGTAGAAAAAAGTAAGTTCTAACCTGGGTTAGTAACATACAAGTTCTAACCTGGGTTAGTAACATACACTATGTAAACTTTCAAAAAGGCAGCTGTTAATAAATAAAATAAAAAAAAATCATTAAACAGCTTCATACATAAGTTTAAAAATGTGAAAAGAATATGCAATGTTTGACTTTTATCTGGATCATTTTGTAGATTAGTATAAAATTTGAAAATGACATCTGGTTAATAAATATACAGTTTTCCATTAAAAGATTTCCGTAAGTAAAGTAGAAAAAATCAAAATAGGAAGGATAAATTTAATTTGCCTATAATGGGTTAACTTTGTGGAACATCCAGTATATGGATTTTCAAAAAAGTGACTGGTTACTAAATATTATAACTCTTCATCAAAAGATTTGATTAAATCAAGTTGAAAGAAGTGAAAAGAATAAAGAAAAGCCCAACCTGTGTCAGTTTTATGAAACATCCAGTACATAAATGTTTCAAAAAGCAGTTAGTAGGACAAAATTTTTCATAAGAAATATTGGAGTCAATAAATTTCCGACTGTTCGAGCAATTTTTTTGGACACCCTGTATTGAAATACCCCATTAATTTAAAAAAAAATCGGTTTAAAAGTAACTTCCATTAATGGTAATGAATGCCAGAAAGACCGAATTGCTNAACAACAACAACAACAAGAACAGCAAGTAAATCAAGAGCAATTAAGTTACGATGAGATTATACTAGAAAGTGAGCATCCTGTCCTGTATAATCTAATAAAAGAAAAGTTCTGTTGACGTGTGATGAGGTCTCGACAAAGCAACTATGAATATGTTCACATAATATTGACAATAGCAACAAAGTATACTTTATTTATTTCTACATATTCTTGTAATTTATATTACGTGCATAAATAATTAAATTCGTATCTTTCATATAATTCTTGCTGGTGACATCGTTATTATCATTACTGAATTGAATAAATCATTTCCAATTAGTTGCTGTTTCTTTCCTGTTAGTGAAAAACTGATTGAAATTCAGATATCATATAAAATTTAAAGAGAGGATACGTGTAGTAATCGATGCAGATCGATCTGTATTGGAAATTGACTACTTTTACTAAATAGACTGTTTTATTTGTAATATATATTTACTTTTGTTACTTGTTTGTTATGAATAAATATTTATTTTATTTTAATTAGGCACAAATAATTTCGTTTTTATGATTCAATTAATGAAACATTGAAATCTTTGGTAAATAAACATTTTATTTTTACAAAATATATAAAATATAGAACTTTGCTAAAATATTTCTTTATAATACCTTATTAATTTTGGTCTATACTCTACCTTGGAATAAGTCATGGAACCATGTTACGTTCGAATTAAATCAACAATTTTACGAAAGTAGAATTAAATTTTACAGCAATTTTAAAATATATACCCTAACGACTAATTGATTTTAAACAGTTATAAAATATTTAGATTACCTATTTTTTGTGACCTTTATAATGGAGTACCTATATTTTGTTAAAATTTTGGTATCAATTGGTTATGTTGTTTTAAGCTTCTTGACATTTTGAGAAGAGAGTGATATGACTCTCGAAGCATTGAGAAGTCTAAACCGACAACATGGCAATCAGCTTAGAAATTGTCCAACCATAATTTATCGACTTTCCATAGTCAGTTTTCAGTTACACTAATATAGTATATTATTGGTTATTCAAAAAAATATGGATTGTGATATACTCTATCTTATATGAATTCCTTTTCCATCAATTATTCCTATAACCTCTGGAAATTCATATTGGGCAAAATATTGTTCGATTACAACTGTCTCATTATCTCGGCCATTCTATTATAATTTGTGGAGACAAGTTACTTAGCAAGTATGTAACTTTTCTGGTTGTTGTAGAGCTTAAGGCAATGCAAAATTTACCAGAATCATGGGTGAAATAATTAGAAATGGCAAATTTTTCTTCAATTCCGGTAGCTCTACTTCCCTGATGCTAACACGTAAATGTTAAAAAAACTTGGCCACTATATTCAGGCACAGCAATTTCAAAGTAGTTCTCATTTTTTACTCTTTCTGTTTCTTAGAGTAAATCTATTTCATCAAGCTGGACAATGCGTCTAATAAGTCATCTGAATCACTGGACTCAAAATCGGACATCTGTAATATTTTAAAAACTTTATTTAAAACACCGTGTTTTTTTAAATTCTATTTTTTATTACCACAAGTAAAAATTCCATATTAATAATACAAGAATTACTATTTTTTTAAAGGCAACTACCTGTATAAAATGTGACTATTTTTTACTAACATTAAACTAAAATCTTTAACAAACTAATTATCAAAAACATAAACCTTACGTTAATATTAACAAGATCGCGTCATAAATTCCTTGAAAACTGGTTTCTTTCAACGAACACCAAATTCTTTTCATAAAGCTAATATTTTTTATTATCTATTTATAAATATAATTACAATCTGGAATGACAATCTGAATATTTTCATGATTTATATAATTCAAAGTAGCTTATATTATTTATTTTAAAATTTTTAACACATCACAAAAATGACATGATTGATTTATAATTCAAACCAGAGTACAGTGTTCTCTGATTCAAACTGCCGCTTTTTTATCCCCACTCTACATATGGGACATATGGAACACTAGCGCCCTCTTATTTTTGTAAGATTTTTGTTTACATGGAGTTCGGGGTTCGGGCTCCTTGTCCTTGTGTAGTCTCCATCAGTCCCCATTGGCTCTTTGATAAATAAATTTTTGTGATGTGATATGATTGTTGAAGAGGTTAACATTTTAAATATTGAAAATTTATTTTTATTTAATTTTTGTATTAGGTTATACAGAGAAGAATCAAAACTTGTGTTTTTTTGGTTCCTTTCAAGATTTAGGTTAGATTCGTTAAATAACATTGTTGCAGAATAAACTATTTTTTGCAATTAAATTTAGAACAGAAATTATAAAAATGAAAGTTTCTTTTACCCTTCCAAATCTAGATAATCTTTTGTAAGTGATAAAGTATTTAAATTATCTTTAACTTAAAATACTACTTATCAATTTTTAGGGAGCTACATGGTATACACAGCGATAAAATAGTAATAATATCCATAATAGGCAAAAGTGCTTATAATACAGCAGGATTAAAAATTAAGTCTATTGGACGCATTCTCCCAACAGAAAGTTATCAAAAGAGTTCAGAAGTAATGTTATTTTAGTTTTTAAAGTTATAAAAATTATTTAAAATGTTTTCAGTGCATTATTGATGGATCATATGACGAAGAAAATCAAATACTGTACTTACATTTATGTAGTTTGTTAGATACAGATATTTTAATTAAAGAATATAAACATTTGAGCGAGAGATGTGAATCAGAACGTAGTTGTAATGACTTTCTAGCAGTCTATGATGAAGTAAAAAGTAGTTTTGCATGTTCTTTACTTCTTTTATTACATATAAGTCACATTATTGTTCTTTCTCATCCAGGAACTACATTCGATACAAATTACATTCAATATTTTAAAGCTGTCGATATACTTAGGTAAGGAAAAATTTGTTGAATACATAGGTAATTGTCTGCAATTAGTTATCAAGAGCTTTAATTTTAATAAACCAAAAATAAAAAAGAGTTCATATAGATATAGTTCTGAAGCGCTTAGTTTTTTTCGATACATATTCCGTTACTGTTTTTATTTTTCACATTTTTTTAGATAATCTATATAAACTAGGTACATTCAGTACTTGTTTGAAGACTAACAAAATATACAAATTTCCATTTGAAAAAACCAACAGAATACTTTTTGAAACGTGGTTTCAAGTCTATAGTAGGATCGTATTCGATGCAAAGTAGAGCAAAAAGTTGTCGGTCTTTTATCAAATGAAAATCGTGTCGTCATTTTTAGGAGGCGTAAGATAAATCATTTCAAATTTAAAATGAAATTCAATGTAAAATCTGAGATACCGCTGCATACGCACTGTGTTCTGGTAGTAGCTGTAGTCGCCCAGGTGCATCGAGTGTACGAACTGGTCGGTTATACGTCAAATACTAACCTGGCGAGCTTTGCCGTCAATTAGAGAGCGCTTCCAAAAAACAAGTAAACAACAGTGGCGCGTACAAAGGTAAAATGTAGTACATATGTGGAATTTAGGAAACAAATTGGATTTATAATAAATTACATTTAAAATAAATATTTTATGAGAATAAACGAATTTTTGTAGGAACAAGGGTGCCAGACCTGAACTGATCCCCTCGTCCCTTCATAATGTATAAAGAAGTTATTCAATTTGTAAAACCTTTAAAAGCGTACTTCATTGGTTCCATTGACAGGCAATGATTTATTACTTTGCATCGAATATGATCCTACTATAGTGACCTAACCATCCAATGAATAGAATTTTTGAACCAACCCATCTAATAGAAAATGTGTGCAACAAATGAGAATAAAAAAAACTATGACTCTATTATATCTTAGAATCAAAGCTTTTACAAACTTATATTCTTATACACTTTTTTTTATTGTTGGTTTCAAAAAATATATATTCAATTTTCTAGCAATGGGCTTACAGTGACACGTCAGTCATGATGAGAGCGACCATCAAGTCACAGCGGTTTTGAATGGTGACTAGTCACTGCTTAAATCAATTCATTCAACATTTACTGATTCTGTTAAAATATGTTATAACTTTTATTTTTAAGTAATATTTATTTTGAAACGATAGAGAATGAATATTGTCAAGATTATAAAAGGCACATTATGCTTTTTGTGTTTTTAAGTATTAAATTAACATGGATATTAATAAAATGTATGTGCGATCCACTGTCGAGTGACAAAGGCAGCAACTTTGTCGCTATGATTTTTCTATCACGCGAGCTCGCTATGGGACCTATAGTGTAGGGGGTTAGGTGCACTGGAAAGTGCTAGATAGTACAACAGCGTGATGTTATTTTCATAGCGCAACGCTGGAGCGTTGCGCTATGAAAATAACATCACGCTGTTGTACTATCTAGCACTTTCCGTGCATCTAACCCCCTACACTATATGTCCCATAACGACTCGCACTTGTGATAGAAAATAGTATGTGCAACTCGTTCGGAAAAGTTGCCATAGCGCCACTTGGGCGCTTTCAACTGCGTCCTCGTGGCGCTATTGGCAACTTTTCCCCACTCGTTACACAATGTACTATTAGAAAGTGGTCGCTATGATTAACAGCTACCAGCTTTGTTACTGCAACTACTAACCCATCACTACAATTTTGTCATGACATTATTGCAAGACCCTTTATTTTTAGTCAAAAATTGTTTGACAAGATATCTGAATGTTTAAAAACAATTAATGAAGTAAGTCCAGATTGGATTAGCAATGGTAGACCATGCACACCTAGATTAATATTTTATTTTGAACGTTGTCCAAAAAATACAAATAATTTAAAAAAATTAGAACACAATTTAGAAGACAAAATCTATCACATTTTAAAGAAAACTCGGATTATCAGTACAACTGGGTAAGATATGTATACAATTTTTTTATATCAATTTAATTTTTTATTAATATTGCAGTTGTTCATTATTTGCCATTCCCCTAAATGATGAATTTGTATACATTTCTGAGGATGGACCTTCTGACAGGTTAGGAGATGCTATTAGGGGTTTATTACTGGACTGCCAACCAGGTGGAGCTATGCAAATTGAAGTACCTTATTCTAACCAGCCTAAAACAGAAAAGAATTTTAAAAAATTCCTTGAAGTACACATACAACAAGCTAGAAATAAAGGTTTTGATGACACTGTAAATTCTGGAAGACATCAACATTCTCAACCTTTACATTTTGAAGTATATACTACTTATCTATCGGAAAAACTGATATTTTTTTAAATTTATTTTCAGTTGCCCGTTCTTAAAGTATGGATAGAAGTCACACAAAGCTTATATGGTATTATAATGAGGAATAAAATATTTTCTCAACTATGTACTGATACTAGATTTTCTGAACAGCGTTGTTTAAAAGTTTTACCATTAGCTTTAGCCAGGTATCAAGAAGGTTTACCGCCACATTATGCAAAAGCAGAACATGAAGCCAGATTAAGAATTGCACTAGCTTTATTTAGAGCGCAGGCACGTGGTCCTGTATATTATCAGTATGCAGCTCAACTAGAAAGAGAATGTCAGACTCATTGGGAAAATGGTCGCCAACAGTGTGAAACAGCTTCCTTGACAGGAAATCCTTGTAAATTACCTAAACATTCTTCAGATCAAGATCACATGAGCGGATTTATATATAAAGGTTAAAATTGTTTCATATTCTGAACAAAGTTGTAGGCCATAAATTGTAAAAAGGAAGAACAGTTGTGGTATGAATTTATCTACTTAATTGTGATAAATAAATTTTTTCATAGGAATGCGCTACATACAGGGTGGCATAAAAGTATGGAAACCCCAGAATAACTCGTCAGGAGTGCATTTTCTTGAAAAATAATAAATACAAATGTTTTAGGATTTTTCCCTGGCTATTCAATGGCGCCCTTGTATTCGACCTTGATCTTGACCTTCGAGATCATTTCAAGGTCAAAATTAATTTTTCAAATGGGAACCCCTATTTTTTTTCGGATTTGGAAAGAGCAGGAAATTTTACGTTCAAGTATGACCTTGACCATATCCTTGACCACGACCTTCAAGGTCACTCCAAGGTCAAAGTTGTTTTGTCAACTGGAACCGCTACTTTTATTGCGGATTTGGAAAGTGCATGAAACTACGTTCAAATTGTCCGCTATCTTGGATTAATTCTTGAAATGATCTTCTTACAATGGCCTTTAAAGACTGGTTCAAAGCCAAAAGCATGATTATGATCATTATTCGCACATTTGATTTTTTTGTATTTCGTAGCTTAAAAAAAAGTTAATGTAAATAAATGACCTTGTCTTTGACAATGACCTCGAGGGTCATTGTCAAGGTCGCATTTGAAGATAAAATTTAAGCTTTTTTGCAAATGCGCAATAAAAACTAGCGGTTCCTATTGAAAAAACAACCTTGACCTTGGAATGACTTTGGAGACCATGGTCAAGGTCGTAGTTAAGGACATGGTCGAGGTCATAATTCGAACGTAAAGTTTCATGTACTTTCCAAATCCGTAATAAGATATAGCGGTTCCTATTGAAAAAAAACTTACCTTGGAATGACCTTGAAAGTCGTGGTCAAGAATATGGTCAAGGTCACACTTGAACGTAAAATTTCCTGCTGTTTCCAAATCCGCAATAAAAAATACGGGTTCCCTTTTGAAAAAACAATTTTGACCTTGAAATGATTTCGAAGGTCAAGGTCAAGAACGAATACAAGGGCGCCATTAAATAGCCAGGGAAAAATCCTAAAACTTTTGTATTTATCATTTTTCAAGAAAATGCACCCTTGACGAGTTTTTCAGGGGTTTCCATATTTTTGTGCCACCCTGTATATTCAGATGGTCAATCTTTGTTATTCTAAGAATGGTCTGAGAGTGGAAATTCTCGGTCCCTTTCTTTCAACATTAATCTAGAGTCATAACTTATTTTTAAGATATATTCATCAATCATGTTATTTTATTCTCTTTAGAACAATTCATAATCTGAATTTCAAAATAGTTCATAAAATGTAAGAATGTAAATTTAAGCGCTTATTGCCTTCTTATCTGACATTCCAAACCAAATTACATACATGGTTTATCACAGATCAATTAATTCACTTGCGCTTATTGCCTTCTTATCTGACTTTCCAAACCAAATTACATACATGGTTTATCACAGATCAATTAATTCACTTTAAATTGAACAGGCAAATAATTTAAAAATATGCATAAATTGCATTATTAGCTATTTATTGTATGATCCATTATATATCATTTTAGCTGTTTGTGATTGTGGAAGAAAAATTGGACCTAGAGAAGACCCTTATACTGCAAAACAGGCAAACTATTCATTTTATCAGCAAATTAGTAAAGAATGTCAGTGTTCTAAACTCGAAAGGATAACCTTTCCTGTATTTCAACCTTCAATTAAGGAATTTAAAGCAGCCACATTAAATGAGCCAGAAGATTCTCTCTCAATACTATCTGATAGAAGTGGAGAACTTACTCCTGAAATAGGGAGAGGCTTGATTCGTCAGCCAAGTACAACCGAGTATCTACCGGGAATGCTTACATTAACTTCACCTTCAGGCTTACTTCCTGTGTATTCCAGTTGGTCCCTTGTGTGTCTGGGAGCCTCATCATTATATAGTCATAACTTAGGGTTATCCGAATCCCATCATCCAGGCTTTTTAAGCTCCACTAATTATTTATTACCTTGGGATGTGACTGTATACTCAAAATCTAAACAGAATTGGCCCCATGTTAGCAAATACAATGTAAGAGGAAGGAGAGGCCGCCCAACAGGAAGCTTGCCCCAGTTCACTGTTAAAGTATTTATTGGGGTAGAATATGAATGTTCTTCTGGCCACAGATTTATGTTGGCTGCTTCAGATAGAGTGCTCAAAGCTGCCCCTGGCAGTATAGTAAAAGACACAGGTCATAAAATTGCAGAAAGTGATATGCCATTGTATTATCCATGTGCATGCAGGGCTGGAAAATTAGCTCAGTTAATGAGGTTACATGTAGTGACACCTAAAGCTCCAGTTCATTGCACATTAGATCCAAAGGTATGTTATTTCTAATATCCAGTACACTTATACAGGTTCGGAAAGTCCCCATGGTACATCGGCCGTTATGTGAGAGCGATAAAGTAAGTCATAGAAATCCGTGCAATAGACAAGGATGGTTATATTGAATGCGTTTCATAATCTGAAAAGTCACTCCCATTTCTAACCTGAAACGGGCCGTGACTATTCAGATTATGAACCGTCTTCACTATAGCCATCCTTGTCTATCACACGGATTTCTTTACTTTACTTTGTCACTATCATGTAAAGGCAGATGGACCATGTGGATTTTCCAGCCCTGTATAATGTACTAACAAAGAATTTTGTCATGCAACTTTTTGATTTTGGTTTAGTTAGTTTAGTTAGTTTATCAAATGAAGTTTCGAGATTGGTTGCTAAGGTATGACACATTTTTGGCTGTTACTAAAGGGTTTAATTAAATTCTGTATAAATGTCATCTGATAAACCAATTGTGATTGCTAATAATGTTAGCTAAGATATTTTCAAATTTTAGGTTCAACCAGCTGCTGGTGCTCCTGTATTTGTTAGCACTCTAAGTGGACCTACAAAACTAACTCAATCGGCTTATTGGATAATGCGATTGCCATATGTGTATGTTGGAGATAAAGAACATTTTTCCCAAAACCTTTCTGGCAGACTGTTGCAAGGAGTATTTGGTGTAACTGAAAGTGAACAATAATTCAATATATGGTACCTATAATTTATTATATTATCAATACTTAATAAAGGATTTAAATATTTCTACTGTCTGTTGAGTGCTCATTCCCATTCCTGGGGACAGGACGGTGCCCTGGAGGACACCGGCCTCCATGGGACGGGTGGTGGAAAGGGAATCTTGGATTTGGATGCGGAATTTTCGGTGGTGTAGGTAGGATTTTATGAGTTTGGTAAAGGATATGGGATATTGGTTGGTGAGCATTTTCATCAGTAGGCCTTCATGCCAAACCGTATCGAAGGCCTTTGCGACGTCCAGGAAGACAGCACCAGTGTACTGTCCCCTGTTGAAGGCCGCCGTGATGTGCTCGGTAAGGCGAAGGATTTGGAGTTCAGTGGAGTGATTGGGTCGGAAGGCGAACTGCTCGTCTGGAATGACTTGCAGTTCTTGGGAGTGGGTTCTTAGACGGGTTAGGATAATTTTTTCTACCACTTTGCTCATAGCCGGGAGCAGGCTAATGGGCCGGTAGTTGGATGGGATGGTGTGATCTTTGTTGGGTTTTGGGATAAGGATTATGTTTGCTGTTTTCCAGCGGGTAGGGAAGTGTCTTAGTCTGAGTGTCGCGTTTGTTATGTTTAGTAGGGCCATGAGGCCCTTGTGTGGTAGTCGTTTAAGTGTCGTGTTATGTATATTGTCGGGTCCGGGGGCTTTTCTGTTTTTAAGTCTGCGTATTGTCAGTCTTAGTTCGTCAGGTGTTGCGGGGGGGATTATGTCATTGTCTGGCTCTCTGTCGACGCGTCGGGCCGCGCGCTCAGCCACTA